CACGAAGGGCATTGCGTGCACTGACAAGTACCATATGGGAGCTTCCGGGAATAGGGGACTCTAATATAATACCCTGAATAGGAGGAGCCTTTTTATAAGGACCCCAAAGTAAGGTACCCCTAATTTTCGAAAACTCCCATATTGCTATAAACGAAGAGACTTCCGCCAAAGAACACAGACAGCCCTACCTAATACCTAAAGCCCTACATACACTAAACACCACGACCCTACTCAATCCTGTCCGCGTACCGTCAGCTGGAGTAGCCGGCTAGATTCAGGGAAAGTGTTCGGGCAATATAGAGGTCTCAATAATAAGAATAGGGTTTTGGGGCCATTGTGCTATAATTAAAATAAACGACCTTCAAGTGCCAGGGCAGGAGTTGTAACCCGGGGTTTAGGGGTTTAGAGGTTGTCAAAGGTTGACGGTTTTGAGAGTTTAGGTTTTAAATTCTCAACCCTAACTAAACCCTACAAGCCCCTAAAGCCAAAACCCCCAAAGCCTCAATCCTAAACTTTAAACCCTTGAAGTTTAAACTAGGCCCGACACACGGACCCCTAAAATTTAAACCTAAAGCCTAACCCCTAACGCCTGCACCCCTAAACCATAAACCTACAGTGTTAAGGTTGGGGGTTTGGGAATTCGGGTGTCGTCGGCCCTTTACCCAAAGCTCCGAGAAGCGAAATGTCAGAAATCCGAAGCCGATTCCTCCAGAATGAACCCCCTAAAGAAAGTGTAAAAGAGTGGCCTTAAAAGTGATTTGGAGTGCGGTTTTAGGTATAAAACTGGTACAATTATAATAAGGATGCCGCGGAATAATACTGGCAACTATTTACACCACTTACGCTTCTCTAATTCGATCTGAAACAGAAAACTAGCAACTGTGCGTCGCCCACTCGTCTTGCTGCAACAAACGGCATCCTTGCTCTGTTTTCTAAGCTGTACACTTGAACCCGCAACCCTAAACACCAAAGAATGTGGGAAAAAGCCCTAAACCCGTAAAGCAAAAGGAAGTCGGAACAACTCAAGCAAACATAGCCAAAACTAAGGGTCCTTATCCCAAAGGATCCTACTATTGCGGGTTTAGGATTCAGGTCTCGATGGGTTTACCAGTTCGAGGTTGAGAGGTAAAGCTGCGAGGTTATTGGGGTTCGTTGAGATTCTGGAACTTACAAGGTTTCGGGCTCAGGCTAGTTAGGGCTTAGAGGTCCGTCGAACACGAATTAGGTTGAGGTCCACGCTTGTCCCGCCTTGCATGGGACTGTGACCATGACCCCTGCCATGTTGTATCATGCGTTGCACTGCATCATCCGCTGCATGTGTACGTTCAAGCGACATGCCGTGACTCTTTGTCCTTGTTTCTTTCCAGATGCCCACGGACCCCTTGATTGACTTGGGTGGTCCTCACAGCGGAGTACACGTCACGGATTTGTGTGGCACCGGAAGGGTCCGTCGAACACGATGTATGTTGAGGTCCACGCTTTTCACGCCTTGCCTTGGACTGTGACCATGACCCCTTTGCCTGCCATGTTGTATCATGCACTGCACTGCGAGTGTATAAACACAAAACTTGCTCGAGAATGCAACGGCCTTGATCGGGTGCAAATTGGCATCGTTTGGCTGTCTTGGCTCGGGCCTAAGCCAACTCGCCGACTGGTACCATGCCGAACACGGCATCCGCTGAGCTCAGAGTCTCGAGTTTATGACGTTTAAAGTTAGGGCTTAGGCTAATTCTACTGGGGCCTCTGATTCCCTAAACCCTATAAACCCCTAATTATACTGGGTCCCCTGATGTTCTGAAACTCCTACTTGCCAACACGGGGCGGATCCCTGCTGAAGCGCCGTCGGCTTGAGCTGTACGACCTGCATCTCGAGACATTTCCCAAAGACCATCAACCCCGGCTGGAGTCCTGACATTATACCAATAAGCCCCATAGTAGTTCCTTTGTGGGTTTCATATTTACAGTTGTATCAGGTAATCCCAAACAGGAACTACTATGGGCCTATGGGTAATGCATATTCCTGAGCGATAGGCTGAGCAGTTATATGATCTAGATAAGGTTAACATAGAGGGGCTTACGTCGTGGAATGTTCCTTACAGTTATAGGGTACATTAGTGTTGCGAAGGCTATGTCTTGCCTTGCCTTTAATGACTCCTGCAATACAAGAATGCAATTCCGATTTCAGGTATTAGGGTGCGGGGTTAAACGTTTAGGCTTTTGGGCTCAGAGTTTATAGTGTAGGGAGCTTAAATTAGGGTTTCGTTTAGGGCGCTGCCAAAATTGCGGTTGCCCCGCCCCTTCGAGAAGCAAGTGTTCCACGGAAACGCTTGCAGTCGTGAGTAGGATCCTTAACACAATGCCCTCAACCCTATACGGCCCATGTGTAGCACAGGCTACTACTTACTCTCAACTACCCAAAACCCTAAGGCTACCGGACCTGGAGGCAAAAGCTCAAACCAAAATCTGTTAAAGGAAACCTATGCAAGCAGCGTCATGGAACTAGGGTTTTACATAAGGTGGCTGTAGTTATTACTGACTTAAAGCCTCAAGCAAAGCACGTCTAACTGTTTGGTAGCCTTGCTTACAACTTCCGCTGATCATCAACGTATTTCTCTATTTGATGACGAAGATGATGAATTATCGCATATGTTATTTATATTGTTGTGATGATTAGCATTGTTGGTATTACTACTACATGAATACATACTGTTACTATGTAAATAGTCGTTGTTGTGAGCGCAGGCAGGGTTTAGACTCTCGGTGTTGCGAGACCTTGTATCCTGTGAGGCTCAGATATCAGATATGTCAGATATGTCTGTTAGCCCAGTACCTGAATAGATAACTAAAGGAAACCGTTTTTGGGCCTTTGGGTTGGAAGTCGAATCATGCTACACGGCATGCATATAATGGTTTACTTACTCGACCACTTCCGTGGTACACCCCAGCACTAAGCCCAAAGCGCCATGAGCTTCAAGGCTGCAGAATCAGAAACCCAACAGTGTGACAAGACAGTCCCGAAGAGTCTCATGGCCTCATGGCGCAAAGCCCATATGGGTGGTTGTCAAAATTAGGGCCCCTTTTTGGGTACCCTAACTAATAGGTGCCGTATTATAATAATGACCCAAAAAGGGACCCTAATTTTGACAACCACCCATATCTGTGAGCGCTAGCCGCTAGATGCCACCCCAAACCTCCCTAACCCTAAACCCTACCCTCGTGCCGCCTCTCGCGGGAGGAGGCTGTCTGCACGTGGCTCGATCCAGGTCACGCGTGCACGGAGCACCAGTGCCTCTACTAAGAGCTGCAGCAGATTGCTGGTTTTACTTAGTCCTTAACCCAAACCCTAATCCCTAAACCCCCAGAAAGTCCTAAACCCAAACCCTAAACCCCTAAACCCCCAGAAGTCCTTAACTCAAAACCAAAATCCCCGGACCCAAAGAGCTGAACAGTACCCACCCCTGGAGACGGGGAGGAAGTTTATTTATTGGGGTTTAAGGGTTTAGGGTTTGGGGTTTTGGGTTGAGGGTTTGGGGTTTACGGTTTAGGGTGACTACAAAATTCAAAGAAGTGAGCCGCAAGTTTCATGATTGAAAGCCGTGCCATCAAACGGGAAGCCCTTGTCTTCTGAATCGTGAGCACCACCTGGCTAAGATGAGAGGCCTAAAGTAGCCAGGGAGAAAATTTCATAATGGTTCCATTGAAAAAGATCGAAATACGTTACTCCAAAACCCAGTTAAGCTACATGAGTGACACAGCTCTCAGAAACCGAATGTCTACAATGTCACACAACCTCGAACCTCGAAACCCAGAACTACGGAACCGTGGCATGTTGAGAACGTCCCAAGCTTCGTTCGTAAATTCTAAACCCTGGGAGTTTCACTCCGAAGCTCGAAACTTCCGGGCTCACCTGTGCTCTTGTTCAGGAGCTTAATTGAAGGTACTACAGCCTGGACATACGAACCTTAAGGGTCCATGTACCCAAATAGTATATACTTTGGGCTTAAAATAATCCCTATATAGGTACTTTGGCACCAAAGCATATACTACTTGGCTACATGGAATTTCAGGGGAAAGGAACTAAACGTCGGGTTTCGTTCAGTAGAACAAGTAAACTCAGCTCCCTAATTAAACAGTTGTGCAGCAGCGAAGCTCGTCAAACACTGGGCTGTGCACCTCTTGATATTCACGGTGAGCCTTTGCACCGGCGGCACCAAAGCAATCGTCTTGGAATGCGCCGCCACGACTTGCGTTCATCTGAACGATGTTCCAGTCAATCATGGTATCTTTCCAGTGCAAAGGAAACTAAAACCCGAAATGCACTCTTCACTGTCAGGGCGAACCTATTGCTGCTGCCCAAAGTCTCCCTAGGCCAGCAGCCATAAGAACAAGATTGGTCGGAAGGACATCGGTCGGGGGCTTGCTGTACATGCCCCCATCGGACCCGACATCATGTCCCCGATGGTAAATGCCCAGGGCCTCGGGCCAAGCAAAAGGGGAGAGCATCTCGCAAAGTTCGCTGCAGATGGCTCCAATCCCGTGCTTGGAAGGGCAGGGGACTTAGTAAGTAGGTTATAAGTAGGGTTATAATTGGGGTAACTCCATTTAGGGTACTAATAACTCTACTTATATCCTACTTACTAAGTCCCTTGCCCTTCCAAGTATTGGTGTTGGGTGGAAATTTATGGCCCGCCATGTGCAGCGGGTCCCCGCTGTGGAAGCCCAGCACGTTGGTCTTCCGAAGCATGGTGTCCGCAGTCTTCACACTACCCAGCCGCTCCAAAGTAGTTCCTTCTTGGCGTTACCGTAAAGGATTGTAAATATGAGCCCTAAAATGGAACTACTATGGAGTAAGCTCTAAACCACCGTAAACCCTAAAGCCTCCTTATCAAGACGCCGTACGAACCCTGAGACTCCAACACCCCTCAATCAAAGACTACCTGGACCCTGAAAAACCAAAGATCCCAATACCCCTTAATTAAGGAATATACTTTAAATCATAATATTAAGGCCCCGACAATTTAAGGTATATTCCTTAATTAAGGGGTATTGGGTTCTCTGGGTAACCTAGCTTTTTAAGACTTATGCCAGGAAATCGTACAAATTAATCCACAAAAGGTAGGTTATGTCGGGGTTAATGTTTCTAACATAGCACCTTAGATCATGGGAGGCCCGCCGCTACTATGATTTAAGCTCTTATCGTCGGCTTCGTGGTTCCCTTATGTACCACTGAACGCAACCCCTACACCCGAAAACCCTAAAGGATGATCCTTACCATATTGACCCAAGACTGTCGTACCGCTTCTGCTTTCTTCAAGTTCTTATTCTGAGAACTTGACCAAAGAGTGGGTTCTCCAAACAATGGTACTACAGTTCATGGTCTAGGACCCTAAACCCTATACCCTCAACCGCGCACCTCATCCACGAGCTCGGCGCAGAAGTCCTCATCAAAGAGACCGAAGTCCTTGCAGACTCCCCAATCCTGGCTGCTGGTATTGGGTTTAGGGCTTGTGAACCCGAGGGCCCAAGGGCCCTGGGCTCCAGAAAGGTCGCATGTGGGCTTTATGGGGTTTACCCTAAGGCCCCAAAGTAGTTCCTTTTGGGCGTGCATATATAGAATTCTATTAGGTATTCTTAAAAAGGAACTACTTTGGGGCCTTAGGGTGACGTAGAGCAAACAACATTGACAATTTTGTACCCAGAATACTGTCAATCGTGCATATATCATCCGCTTCTCACGATCCATCCAACTCTTGGCTTCTGCGATGAACCCTAAGCCTAAACCTATGCTTTTTGAAGATGAAGAATTCGGGCGCCAGAAGCTCGTTTCCAAACCTTAGGCTGCGAACCCTAAACTATGAAGACGAGAACTTCAAAGTACCGTGTCCCTTCCCTAGGGGTGCAAGTGACTTCTCTTGTCATAATATCCGGAATAGTAGCCTACCCAGAAACTCCAGTATCCCGTAATTAAGGAATATTCCTTAAATTATAGTAGGATCCCGAATATGATGAAAGGAATATTCCTTAATCAAGGGATATTGGAGTCTCTGGGTACATCTTTCCTAAACTTAGCTACTTAATGGTTGGATCTTGAGGTCCCTTGCACCGTGGCAAAACCGCACAACTATCTCATTTTAACTATAGTAGATCTCTTGTCGATCTACCGATCTGTGAAATACTTTCTGGCATGTAGGGTCTCGGGTTTGGGGCTGAAGCCTTATACAACCTTCACTCTGAATTTCCGTGCCTGATGCCAGAAAAGAAAACACAGGGGTCGGGAGAATCACCCATGGTATACCTTAATTACATTACCTCCCACGCCTGAACCTCTACTAACTCCAGTAGGGGCCTGAATTTTTAGACTAGGAATTGTAATAGTAATTGTGCGTGCCCCTGTGTTGGTACGTTCGGATGATCCTATATGGGAGTTTCCGAAAATAGGAGATCCTAATATAGTACCCTGAATAGTAGGATTCTTCTTATAAGGACCCCAAAAATGAGGTACCCCTCGTTTTCGGAAACTCCCATATGTCAGTAAGGAAGAGACCGCAGGTTCGAGCTGTGGTGTTTGGGGGCCAGCGCCTTCGCGGTTCGGGGGCTGGGCTTCCACAACCGAGGACCTACCGTAAGGGTCCATGTACTCATATAGCATAGACATTGGCTTTAAAGTACTCCCTACATACGTATATTGGGCCCAAAGTATATGCTACATGGGTACATGGACCCTTAGGGCCAGACAGTGGGATAATGGATCATGAACAGGCAGAATAATGTTGTGCAGTGTCTGACGACGGTAAGATGATGTAGCATGGCTTCCTTAAGCTCCATGCCCACAACCCAGCAACCCTAAACCGCAAAAACCAGAAAAGCCCTAAACTGTAACTTGCGTGGGCATGCGGGAACCCCCACACTCTAAACACAAAATCGATTCAAACCCCTCCCTCGGCCTCAATCTCACAGCGGCCAAAGACCACAACAAAGGGTGACTCACGCGTGTTGTTCCTTGGACTCGGACACAGACCCAATAGGAAGTCGGGCTCAGACGGCTTATGGCTTACAATCTAGGGCTTTAGGGCTTACAGGCCTTGGGCTCTTTTCTGAGATTTAGATTGTCGTTGAAGGGTAAACGAACAAGGTAAAACAGTCAAGGGCCTATATATTGGTACTCGGTAATTCAGAGGATACCGTGGAGTCTCAGGGGGTTGGTACAACGTCTGATTCTCGGAGCCCTGTGCTGCAGTTACCGCAGGCCTCTGAATTTTTGCGAATTCGCACACTCACTGAGCCTGACAGTGTTCCAAATGCCAAATGAGGAACGAACAAACCTTAAACCAGTAGGAACCCCTAAGCAGTAGCGAAGCCCGCAGGCAGGCGTAGAGTTCTAGGACGCAGGACAGCCAGGGGGTCTGCAAAAGAACAACCGAAAGTGCTGTACTAAAACGCTTTCCATGTTGGCATTGCAGCAGAAGAGAGCTTTCGATAAGTTAGAGGTGCTCAGAGACGGCGCATAAGCTTGATAATGCTCTTGGGGGGAAATGGAGGGGTGTAGAATCTGGGACCCCGTAACTTTAGGAAAATCATATTACCAAGCTTGCCCTTAAGATTGGAACTCTAAGCTCGGGGCACCACCATAGAGAGATGAAATCTGCAGGGTTCAAGGTCAAGGGTGTAACTATAGAACCCGAAACCCAAAACCCTAAGCCTTGAAAGCCCCCAAGAGGGACGCTCTACGCCCCAACCCCCGCCAAGAAGAGCAGATAAGAGAAGACGAGAAGCTCCGGCACGCGGAAGCTGGACCCAGCTAGCTTCTCCTCGACAGATCAATGTGCCCCTTCATAAACTTGCTCATATTCGAATGCCTTGCCTTGCTATGCATTGCCATTTTCAGATTTTTGGGCTGAAAGAGCATGTCGGCTTCTTGGATCTAAGATGTTTGGGTTACTCGCGGATATGGCATATTCCCTGAAAGCAATGTCTGCTTTGACTAAATGCTTGAGCACCCAACAGCTTACATGTTCCAAGGACTTGTATACGGGAGTCACAATAGAAAAAGAGCCCTGAAAGGTAGTCGCTCGTAGGCGGCTCAGGTAAATCCAAAAACCAGAAACCCTTCCGCTGGATGCGATAACAGTACATCTGCCTTCAAACAACAAGTTTGAGTAAGTTTGCTTATAAGATCATAGAACTAGTAGCTAGCGTTGTAAGGCACCTATAATATAACCGCTGGTGCTTGCAACCTTGCTTACCCAGTCCCCAGATCCTCCAAGTACTTCAGAATTATGTTGGGGGGCAGGCTTTCAGGTCGAGATTGAAAGAGCCATTTTCTGCCAAGCTGCTATGGTAGCGTAAGCTGGAACGCGCTCCTCAGCTAAGGCATGTATGAAGGCGTGAACCTCTACCTTATGAAAGTGCGCAGTTAAAGCAGTCCTCGCCTCCCTCCCCTCTCCCCTCCCCTCTCCCCTCCTCCCTCCCCTCCCCCCCCTCCGCTCCCCTCCCCTCCTCATCAAGGACTGTATGAAGCAAAACCCCCCACATGTTCACCGTGTAGAACGCAGGCCGAGGCACATGAGGACCAAGATAGCCTCGCTTGAGGGTTACTTGGAGGATCATGGGACCTAGTCAGTAAGCAGGGTTATAAGTACCGTAATCAGGGTTATACGCATTTAAATCTGCAGTAACCCTGCTCATAAAACCTCGATTGCTAAGTCCCATGATTCGTTAAGTATACAAGGCTAACAGAGTACAGCGTGTCTTTAGGATTTTGGAGACAAAAGGGTTTACTTGGAGGTTCATGGGTAGTTATAAGTGGAGTTATAAGTCCCTTAACTTTACTTGGCTGACTTCTGAAACCCTCCAAAACGTTACACTTTTAGCCTCCTTATTATAGTTCATATAGAAACCCCAAAAGTTAAAGTCTAAAGAGCCAACCAGAAGAACGCCAAGTATTGTTACCCTATAACTATAAGCCCACTTATAGCTACCCATGAGCCTCCAAGTACCCAGAGACTCCAATACCCCTTAGTTAAGGAATATACCTTAAAATCATATTAGGGGTCCTACTATAATTTAAGGTACATTCCTTAATTAAGGGGTATTGGAGTCTCTGGGTAGGGATTTCGGACGTGTCTCTTGGTCCGATCCAGGGAGTTGCAACTCGCTTCTATACCCCAAGGGTCCAAAGGACCCAATACCTGAAGGACCAAATGACCCTTAAAAGTTAGGGCCCTATACCATATATAGTATGAATCCCTATATGGTATATGAACCTTAAGCCCTTTTAGGGTTCATTTCGACCTTAAGGTAGTTAGGGTTCCATTAAAGGGTTCTATAAGGGTTCTATTGCATGGGCCTTAATACTCAGGTACTCGGTTTAGGATAGTAGTCATGTAAGTTAGCATTTTGGAGACTATATGCGCATATTAGGTACATGGAGCCTCGGGGCTCGTCGGCATTTGCTTATCCTGCTGTTCAGACTGAGCCGATTTCGCCTAGAACTTCATTTTCAAATGTAGTCAGCTGCTGTCCGTAAGACCTCAACCCTCAACCTTCGCGGGTTCAGCGCTAACCGTGTTAGAAAACAACAACGACCCTAAGGGTCCAAGTACCCAAATAGTAGGGTTTCACGGTCCAAAAACCATTCAGAGTATGGATTTTGGGGCCTAATACCCTACTGTTTGGGTACTTGGACCCTCTGGGCGAATGATTCGGTCAGAGGAGCGGATGAACACGCCGACTGGCCCACCTCGGGCTGGCGAAACTCTAACTTTAGGGCTTTTGAGGCTTCCCTAAGGGTCCATGTGCCCAAATAGCACATACTTTGGCCGTGAAGTAGTCCCTATGTACGTACCTTGCGGCCCAAGTACATATACTACTTGGGTCCATGGACCCTTATACCCTAGACCCCTATAGAACCCTTTTTTTCACTGCCGTGGGGCACCGTCGGCATCCCGTGGGCGACGCCAGGAACTACGGACACGCTGAATAACCGAAGACCAAGTCTGTCTGTTTTGCGACACCTCTAACAACTTAGATTTGATTTCACGTTCCCCCACACCTGCTCTCGCCCCGAAGTAATGGTCGTGAGTAATGGTCATAGCTAACTCCAATATTTTGGCGTTCCACTTATGTCTTCTCGCGCCAGCTCTATACGGGCCTCCTAATGCTTGTGGTTGAAGAAAACGATCGAAAGAGAGAACCCTGGCTGGATGGGTCAAAGGACGTCTCAAAACGTGACCTAGCAGAGATAACTGTTGTAACTTGACCTCGTCAGAGAGATACAGCACTCCCAATTGACTACGAACCTGTTCGTTGGGGATCCTTTCACAACCGATGACCATAGCCCCCCAAGTGGTGGGAATGCCTGCAATTGAACGCAAACATTTAATATGAAAAGCGTCCAACATCTTGTTATGCTTCTCTGTGAGCCACATGGTAGACATGCTGTAGGTCAACTTACTGACGACACAAGCATAATAAATGCGTAGTTTTCTCTCGCGCGAAATGCCTGTGTGTTTCCAAACCCGCATTAGCTTCTTGAAGACCTGCCTGCATTCCCCAATACGTTTAGAGATTTCGTTTCCCGGCCTACCTTGCGAGTCAATGACAGCTCCCAAGTAAACCACAGAGGTGGCCTTAGGGACTTTACTGCCATCAATAAACTTGATTTCCGCCTGACTGTTGTATGACACAAGCTTGCACTTACCATGATTTAGATGCAAGTTGTACTTCGCAGCTTCCGTTTGCACAATCTGCAGCAACGCTTGCAAATGATCACAATTTCTAGACATCAAGACAGTATCATCAGCAAACTCAATATCAAACATGGAAACCGTAGGGGTGACAGCGAGCGGGTGCTCTGCAAGGAAGGTCCTTTGAATGTCATGAAACATGACAGTCTGCATTGCGATAAACAGCAAAGGTGAAAGTGTACATCCTTGTCGTATTCCGCTGGACTGAGTTTTAAGTCCTGAAACCTCACCATCTACAACAACACGGAAAACTGGAGACGCCGTAAGGTCCAAGATTGCTTTGCACATGGTTGGTGGCACCTTCAACCTACGCAGTGCCAGGTGTAATGCAGCGGGTTTGATCGTATCAAAGGCCTTACTCCAATCCAAAAACAGCAAGTGCAGAACTTGATTGCGCTTTGCATCTACAAGGTCTTGCATGCGTCTTACAAGAAAAATAGCATCGCTCGTACTCCTACCTTGCCTAAAACCGAACTGATTGTCGCGGAGCACAGGATCCAGACCTGCATACAACCTTGCAGCCAGCACCCTAGCATACAATTTGTAACAAGTCTGCAACAGAGAGATGGGCCTAAAATTTGAAGGGTCGCTCTCGCAACCTTTCTTGAAGATGCCTATAACCTGAGACTGCTTCCATGTCGATGGGCTCTTGCCGTGACTCCAACAGTCTTGAAACAAGTCCAAAAGAGCCTCTAAGCCTTTGCCGGAAAGGTTCTTCCAAAACTCATTTGGAATATTGTCTTGGCCCGCACTCTTACCGGATTTGAGATGCTTAATGGCCTGAATGAGTTCGGCCATGGTCAAAGGGCCCTCTTCAATATCCGGGGCAGCATGTGGTAAGAGATCCGTGCTGAGATCTTCAACCCCAGGTGATGCTGCAGGAGCCCACTGCACCTGCTCTAGATGCGCGGCATAGATATCTGCATTTGTGGCTGTTGGTGAAATCCCTAAACTTGGTGATGGCTCAAGTCGAACCATCTTTGTAGGGAGCGATTTCTTGAGCTGCTTTATCGGCTCCCACGAATTCGATTGTAGTTGCTCTTCGAGCCAATTTTTCTTGTCCCGTTTGGCAGAACGCTTAATGTCTTTATTGTACTCGGCCACCTGCTGGAGGTCGCCTTGGCTGCGTAGGACACCTCTACGCGTAATCAGATCCAAGGTGCTCTGGCTAATCCAGGGTTTCCTAGGTGCAAACTGGTATTTGGGTATGTGCTCTTCCATGGCCTGAACAAACACTTCCCGGAGAAGGTCCCATGTTTGTGACACATCATCACTACTTTGTATGTTGTCCAATCGAGCTTCCAGGGCTTCGTTCATCTCGCGGATGTTCCTGGGCGAGGCACTATGGAAATCCCAGCGAGGGCGCGGCGCCTGTTGGCGCCTAGCACCCAGTTTGAGTCTCACCTTTGCAAGCAGCGGGAAATGATCACTGTCTACATTCGCCCAAGGATCGGAAGATACATCCCTCACAATATTTCTCCATCTCCGAGGGGCAAGACACAGATCCAGTTGTGCAAACAGGTTGGGGTCCCAAGCGGCAGAGGCATGGGGTAGGGCAGTGGTTCCTACTTCCCTGTAAGTGACCTGCCTGGCGGAGTTATGTTTGAACCACGTGTTGGAAACCAAGAGCTGGTTTTGGACGCAGCAATTGATGAGAAAGCTCCTGTTATCTGACTCGCCTCCAGCTGAAGCTACACCTTTCCCGTACAAGTGGGGCCCCAAAACAAGATCCTCATCGTGCATTCTACCATGGATGCGTGCATTGAAGTCTCCCATAATGAGATAAGGGCCTCGGTTTTCCACCTTATCTACGAGCTGGTTGAGTTCTTCGTAAAAAGCCTGCTTGGTTTCTTCAGTGTGCTGGTTATGCGGCGCATGACCTGTGATGACGGAAAATTCCCCTGCTCCCGTGTGTAAACTGATTCCGGCCACTTTACTACTGCTAGGGAGTGTGCGTAAGAGCGCTCGTCTTGCCGCAGGCGACAAAACAAAACCCGTTCCATAGTGCTCCTGCTGGTCGGGGCTCGCATTACTGAATGTGTAGAAGGTAAACGAATCGATCATGTAGTATGATGTACGCTTGGCTTTTGTTTCCTGTAAACAAAGGACGTCAATGCGCTTTGATGTCATGTACTGGACAATTTGGTGATGCATTGAAGGTTTCAAGAGGGAACAGGCGTTGAGGGTTGCAATGTTGAGTGAACTACCATGAAATAGCTTGGTTAACAGAGGTGAACGCTTTCTGTTCTCAGTATGGTCTTCGTAGGCAAACAAACCCGCGCTCCGGGTGTCTTTCAAGGGCTGAGAGGCAGTTGATTTCGAGCAGGTGAGGCTACCGTTGCCCGGACGGCGCCTGTCTAGGCCTTGTTCAAAGTACCCAACATTCGATTTACACCATCTATACCACCGGCGGTGCTGCGACCGCTTGGTGGCCATGTTTGCTTTTCTCTGTATGATTGCAAGTGCAGACCTCCTACCTCTCTTTTTTGCTGACCGAGTGTGTCTCTGTAGCCGCTGAAGCGTGTGATTATTGCATACAACATGGTCGTCAAAAATGGTCGTGAAACGATTCTCCTTTAAAGATTTGCTTCGCGGTGTGCCCGGCTTGCCTGCTGGGCGGCGCATTGGCAGGTGTGAAGAAGTAATGGTCGTGCAAGAAGTGGTCGTATGTGAACATTGTGCACGAGGTGAATGATTGTTACGGTCTGCGGTTGCACTGTGCAAAGTATGCGTGTCGCTATGTACATTTCACGACGAACGCTTGCCTCCGCCTTTGGCGGGGGTGCGGGAACCAACCTCCTCATCAGCATTCGCCATGTCTACGTCGTCCGAGGGTCTGGAGCTGCGGGAGCGCGTGCTCATGTTTGCGTAGCGTTCGTTCAGCTCCTGCAAAGCGTCATCGGTGAAGGCGATAATGTTGATGCGAAGGTATTTTTGTGGACTGCCTTCCGTCTGGTTGCCCCGGTTTTGCCATGTCGGCCAATCCTCCGCAAACTGAGTCTCAAACTCCTCCTTCTTGTCGTCGGGGACGAAGATGGTCACTTTGGTGGCGTCGTTTGCGTCCGTAGCAACTGCTAGTACCCATTCGGTTTCATACCATAGGGCCTGCAATTCCCAGGTTGGTCGAAATTTGGGGTTGCCGCCGTAGATGGTCGCCAATGCCTTCATAGCGCACTTCATGGGAGCATCTTGTTCACGGCGGTAGCGGGGTATCTGCGGTCTTCCTACGATGGTGTTGCCCTTGATCTTGTGCGGGTCGTTCTTGACATTGTGCAGGAAGGTGTTGCGCGCGTCCTTGTCCCACATGTGCACAATGGTGAAGTGGCCAAGTCCTTGCTTGTTCTTCAGTGTGGTGGTGCCCTGCAACTTGTCAGCTACACCATAGTACTGTGCCATGCCACGGATTTCTTTGTCACGGTCTTGTTCGCTCATGCCGGTCGGCCATCCCATGAGAAGCAGCTGTTTTGACGCCTCAAGTTCTTGGTCTCTATGCAGAAGTGAAGCTGTTTTCGCGGATTTCCACTCAACAGTGTTCAACCTGGCATCCTGCTTCAAAACTGTGGCCTTCAGCGTGTCATAGTCTGCCTTCGTGAGTGCTAATGTTGTTCTCGCTGCTATACTGGCTTCGTCCTCCTCCGGTTCTGACTTCTGAGTCGGTACTTGTAGTGCATGTGCTGGTGAACGCGATCTTTCCCCCATCCCGTTGTGGCGCGAGTGTGAGGGCTGGGGGGTCCTGCCTTGCTAGTCTCGGTCCGAAAGCCTCTATAGAACCCTTACAGAACCCTTATAGTAACCCTTAAAGGAACCCTACTTGGGTCCATGGACCCTGAAGGCTTCTAGGGTGTTAGCGATAAGGTGTCATAGCCAGAGGGTCCAAGTACCCAAATAGTAGGGTTTCAGGGCCCAAAATCCATACTCTGAATGGTTTTTTGGACCTTGAAACCCTACTATTTGGGTACTTTGGACCCTTGGGGATAGCCATTTGGGTTTAGGGCTCTTGAGGCTCTGAGGGGTTTAGGGTTTAGGCTTTCAGGGCGACTTAAGCTTAGGCTTTGGAGTTGCGGAGGGCCTGGTCTTGGGGTCGGCCTTCACTGAGGCTTTGGTTGCTAGGAAGCCAGAGACTCAATATCCCTTCTTTAAGGCACCTGGTGGACTCAAGTTTAGGGGGGTTTAGGGTTTAGGGTTTAGAGTTTAGAATATTCCATAGTAGAGATCCCACTACAATTGATGGTATATGCCTTTAATTAAGGATTGAAAGTCTCTGGGAGCGCCCTTTCGCTCGCGCTCTCTCTCGCTCTCTCTCATATGTCGTCGCTGCTCTAAGTAGCCGCGCAAGGGTTCAGGGGGTTCTGCGACCGCAAAATCAAAAAGTCTCTCTCTCTCTCTCTCTCTCTCTCTCTCTCTCTCTCTAAACGGACTTTGTATGAGACTTGGCTATGAAATTTTTGCTATGAAGGGTACATGCAGCAGCTTCTTTATGGTCACCGGTTTTCTGAAACTCTCGGATAAAACCGTACTCATGCAACCCCGGGATCGCTTTAAGAGCCCAGTCACTTGCTACAGTACGTCACCGCCTTTGCGCCCTATACCCTAATGGTCCATGTACTCATATAGCATATACCTTGGCCTTAAGTACTCCCTATATAGGTACATTGGCGCCCAAATGCTATGGGTACATGGACCCTTGGGGTACATAAACACCTACTCAATCACAGCGTAATGGCCCTCACAAGCCCCAAAGATTTGAGTTCTACGCCCTGAAGCCTGCCAGCCTAAACGTTTAAGAAGCTTAACACTTCTTGCCCTTAAAACCCTCAAATCCGTAAGCTTGAAACTCCAAGCCAGTGAACGCGAAACGCTTATGGCCTCAAAACCATGAACGCAACCCTTCATGCCCTCACAACTCCAAGACTCAGCCCAACAAGATTGAAAACCTCAAGCTTTAACCCCCCAAACCTAAATCCTGATCCTAAACAAAGCTTCTAAACTCCAGCAACCCTGCGTGGAGTTCCGGGAGACTGCAGCATTATGCCGTCTGTCCCTCAGTCACTGAAACCCCAGGCCCCCAATCCGAAAGAGAGCAAACTTGGGTTTCAAGGGTGTTGGGTTTGAAGGTTTAGGGTTTAGAAGATTCAAAACCCTAAACCCTAAACCCTGAACCCTAAACCCTAAACCGTTTCAGGATTTACGGTTTTGGTATAGGGTATAGGGGAGCAAGGTTCAGGCATAGCACAGACTCCACTTTCCCCCCAACCACGGCCGTGGCCCCTGCCTGATGGGATTGTGGCAACGCCCGTCTGGATGGCAAAAGACCTGAATATGTCGGCATGAGCCCCATGTGTGTCTGTATAGTATACATATACCCTAAGGCCCATAGTAGTTCCTTTTTAGGGCTCATATTAAGAATCCTTTACGGTAGCCCCGAAAAGGAACTACTTAGGAGCCTCTGGGTATATACACACACAAAAACAGAAGTGCATCAATGTAGCATGTACGTACATATACCATATACCGGTACATCGACATCTACAGATACAGCTGCACATCTGGAGGTCCGGTTAAAGACCTAAATGGGAGTTTCCGAAAATGGGAACCCTAATATAGCACCCTAAATCGTGGGATCCTTATCACAAGACTCCAAAAGAAGGTACCCTATAAACCCCTATGAGCCTTTGAAGGAACCCTTATAGTACCCTTATAGTAACCCTTTACAGGAACCCTGAAACACCCCTAATCTTCGGAAACTCCCATGTAAACCCTAAACCCGCCTGCCAGACACCTCGTGGTCCGAATTTTGGACCGTCAAGGCACAGCCCGCCTCCCTGTCGCAGGAGGGGAGGGTTTGGGGTACTTTAGAGTTTTAGGGTTCCAGGGTTCCAGGATTTTGGGTTTAAGTTAAGGGGGTTGAACGGTTTTGGGTTTTAGCGGTTTTAGCGGTTTTGGTTTAGGGGTTTCTGTGCTTAGAAAAGGTTGGGGGGGGGGGGGGGTTAGGAAAAGGGATTCAGTCCATACAAAAGAATCTCGCTGTCATTCTCTAAGATCCTGAATCCGAATCCTGGAATCCAATCCTGAATCTCACCTATACGTAGTAGCGTAGTATCCAGCCTAGCTCCTTCTCTTGGCTGACCAATTTTGATTGTGTAGGGTCTTTTCCATGCAGCTGGTTATTCAACAAACGGAACTCCACTGGAGACTACAGGTAGTTGCCTAGGGATCATCACGAATAGGACGAGTCAGTAGATCATCGAAGATGGTCGCCCTGGGACGGACCCCAGCTGTCAGAGCAACAACTTGGGGTGCAGGGTTGTAGGTTTCAGATTGTAGGGGGTAGGGTCTACGTAGGGTGGTTAGTTAAGGATCAAAGCTCAGAGGCAGCAGCCAAGGGACAACAGGGACAGAGATGACTACTCTGGGATTGTCGTGTTTGGAGTTGTTCAGTGCAAGGGGTGTGAGGTTATTTGAGGTTTTAGGGTTTAGGGCTTGCGATTCGGGATGTGAGTCTAAAGATCTAAAGGTGTATGGATCATGCTGGAGGCCCCTTCGTGGACGAGGAGTTAGGGTGGCGCTACTCATGAACCTCCTAAGCGCGCACTCTGAACAAACATGCATGCACCCCGAAAGCCTAAAACGCAACTAAGCTGGAAATCGCTACCAATCGAGCTGCACCTGACTTCTCTTCGCCAGGAAGTCCTCGTGCAAGGGGAGACTGGATGCAGGGCAGGTACTTAAAAACATTTTGCTTGAAACGCTGAAACTGTCAGATTAACCCACCCGTGATGCCAAGCCCTGAACGATCCCGAAAAAACTAAACCCTCAACCTTACCGTTCTATACTCTACTTGGAGGGGCAGGGGACTTAGTAAGTAGGTTATAAGTAGAGTTGCAAGTACCCTAAATGGAGTTACCCCAGTGATAACCCTACTTATAACCCTACTTACCAAGTCCCCTGCCCTTCCAAGTAGACCCTAAACCCTAAACCCCATATATCCCCCCAACCCTACAGATCCCTTTAAGGAGCCCTTACTAAGAACCCTAGAGATCCCTTTAAGGAGCCCTTACTAAGAACCCTAGAGCCCCTAGGAGCACCTCTGCACCATCTCTTCCTACCCAGAGAGCCCAATGGGCCCCTTAATTAAGGAATATAGCTTAAGGGTTCCTTACAGGGATCCTTAAAGGGATCTATAAGGGGCTCTTTAAGGGAATTAATTAGGGAATATACCTTAAATCATAATATTAAGCCCCTAATGATTTAAGGCATACTCCTTACTTAAGGGGTATATTGGGCTCTCTGGGTAGCTTCTACAGAACCCTAAGGGTCCATGTACCCAAATACCAGATACTTTGGCCCTAAAGTACCTATATAGGGACTGCTTTAAGGCCCATGTATATACTATATAGGTACATGGACCCTTAGGAGAAAGGTCCGGGTTCTCAATTCGTTGCGGTGATCAGTGCTTGCGGCTCTGGCGGCCTTGATAGATTTACTATAGGGGCCTTAATAGTTAGAATAGGGTCTTGCGGCCCATTATACTAGACTTATTAAGACCCCTATATTATGCTGAAGCGGCTCGGAGCTTCGGATTTACCATGGCTTGCTGCCCTATTATAGTGGCCTAGATAATTATCAATACTATTTTGGTGGCTCCGTTTAGGGTTTACCCAGAGGCTCCAAAGTAGTTCCTTTTTGGGATTACCTTATAGGATTCTAAATATGAACCCTAAAAGGGAACTACTATGGAGCCTTAGGGTAGGGTTTAGAAGTTAATCCTGAAAAGCTCGGGGTGTCCCGACAGCTAAACACAAAAACTCCCGTCGCCGAAAAGGCTCCTGGATAGTCCACTCCACGGTCGCCGTTTGGGCAGCGATGAACAGCCTCAGGTACCGGTCGACTCTCTTAAGCTTAGGTTCCTTTTTTACGATTAAAAAGGACTGCTGACGTGAAACCGGAGTGCTAGCGTTAGGCGCATGGATTACTTGGAGGTTCCTGGGTAGTTATATGAGTGGGGTTATAAGTCGGATAACTATAGTCATAAACCATATTAGGGGACCTACAACTCCACTTATAACTACCCATGAACCTCCAAGTACGGTATAACTTCAATGCAAACTACAAACCGGCCATAAGGAAAAACACCGACACACACACATACACTAAGAGTCAGTACCACGCGCACCCACCCACAAACTCCCTGACACACACTAACACAGACACACATGCATCTCTCTGTACGAACTGCCAAACCAGTATAATACATATACATATACATATATATACCCAGAGGGTCCATGTACTTGCCAGAGGAGTACATTGGAATGTCTTCCGTATAGGAGTACATTGGGCTCAGGTCTCTGTGTCCGTGCAGGGAACGTGCTGGCCGGCTGTTGTTGCTGTCGCAGGTTCAGTGTGACTGGAAGTGTAGATCAACGACACAGATAGGCAGACTTAGCAAGTGGATAAGAGATACGGATGCTTTCCGCAGAGGTTTCGCCGCATTGAACCCTGAACTCCAGTTTTGTTGCCAACATGGGGCTGCTGCGAGCGGCCGTGTTGAGGCACCAGCCAGGTGCGCCCCCCCTTGCCCTGTGCTTTTGCATTTGTGGAGTCTCAGTGAGGAGGTCCATTCTTGATTGATTGATTGCTTGGTGGTAGCTGTGCATAAGCTCCTTCCTGCAGTGTTTTCTTTTTAAGCAAAGCCCACTGCTTTGATGGGCCGTGGAGGGGGCTTGGTCATGGCGGCTTTCCTTTCGGAGGCGGATGCCTGGGGTATCAAGCATCTCTTCCAGCCATACCGGCTGCATGTGAATGTAACTCAGCTTTCAATTGCAAGCCTTGCACACAGTGTCCCTGCTTGTGCAATGTATGTGGATCGCTACACACTGAGATTTGTACTAGCCGAGGCTGTTGCAGAGAGAATCTTTGCAGTGGTGAGTGGGCATGTGCAATCGCGGTTGATGCCCAACATCATGGCTGATCCCGAGTCCTTCCTGAAAAGCTAATTCTTGTGCCAGTTAGTCATCTCCAGTGTGGTGGCAAACCTGGAAGCTGCTGCTTCACGCTCAGGAGCGCCGGGTGGTGGTGTTTGATTCCGAGCAATCTGTGGCTGCCAATCTGCATTTGGATTCTGGGTATGGGCCAGTGTAGTGCAGTGTGTTTGCCTTTGGGAAACACTTTACAGACAAGTGCGGCAGTAAAATCATAGAAGAACGAGGGTATGAGAAACCGTGTTCTGAGATGCTAGCTAGCAGTACGTTAAGCAATATACATACATACATATACATACACGTATATACGACTAAGAAGCTTATTGCAATTGCAATATAGTCACATGGTGACTCCGAGAAGAGCGGGAGTCTTCACACAGGTGGCAGAACAAGAAGACCACCAGACCAGCACACACACATGCACATGCAGAGCAACGTGGACATTGATGACTGTATGACGGTTTGGATGAAAGTGCAACTTCCATTTTAAAGCTATTTGCTCAGTGGCACGATAGCCCTACACTATACCAGTACCCACTGCAACTGTTGTTGCTGCCGCTGTACTGCCCTGCTACTGCTGATTGGGACTGCTAGTACCAGCTAGCAGCACTACTGTACTAGAACAACAACAACAACAAAACTACTAGTACTACTCTTACTCTTACTACTACTCTTACTACTACTACTACTACTACTACGACTACGATTACTGCTACCACTGCTACTGCTACTGCCACTACTACGACCATTACCCCTGCCAATCAGTACCACTACGACGACAACAGGCACGACCTACTACCACTACGACGACCACTACGACTAGTGCTGCTGAGGCGACTGAAACTGCTAGTGCGTTTACTTGTACTGGTACGATATTGTTATTTCTAGTGGTACTGGTATGCTATCGCTACTGCTACTGCTGCTGCTGCTGCTACTAGTACTACTACTACTACTACTACTACTACTACTACTACTACTACTACTACTACTACTACTACTACTACTACTAGTACTACTAGGAATACTGCTATATACTAGTACGTTAGTACGAGTACTAGCAGACCCAAGCCCATTGCAAGGTTCATCAGGATGACCTCACCGGGGCCAACTATCCCTTGATCAAGGAATTTCTCCTCGAGTTTGGCGAGGTGATCCCATGCAATGCTGACTTTCAGGTGCTTGGGCAGCATAGCTTCGGGTGCAGATTGATCAGTGATCAGAGTAGTTCATGTCGTGGTTGAGGCGGGTATGGGATTGGTGGCCGTGACAATATTTCCTGGAGCAGAGTTCGCGGTCAAGGGAGGCAAGGGCCGGATTCGATCTTGGGCAGAGGCCCAAGCTTCCCTCCTGAAGGGGCTGGTGGGTTGGATCAACCGCCAAGAACACCGCAGTGCCAATGGCGCCAGATCTCAGAAGGTTATGGTGCTGAAGAAGATCCTTCAGCTGAAGCGCCGAGTTCAGGCTGCTGTAGACATGTCGCATGATACTTGGCATGGCATTGAGTACAGCAGTGGAGCACAAAGAGTGAATGTTTTTTTTTTGGTGTGCATGTCTGCCCTAGGAAGCAGCAGCACCTGCTGTGCCGGACCAGAGGGTTCCTGTGGCCGTTTCCCGTGAAGCTGTTTTGGTCACAGAAGCAAGTGCTTCGCTGGAGCCTTCGGTTACCCATGAAGTTGGCCACCTGGTTTTGGAAACAGGACCAAGTGCTTCGCTGGAGCCTCCGGTTACCAATGAGGTTGGCCCCCTGGTGTTGGAAACAGAACCAAGTGCTTCGCTGGAGCATTCGGTTACCCCTGAAGTCGGCCAGTTGGTGTTGGAAACAGAACCAAGTGCTTCGCTAGAGCATCCGGTTACCCGTGAAGTTGGCCAGTTGGTGTTGGAAACAGGACCAAGTGCTTCGCTAGAGCATCCGGTTACCCGTGAAGTTGGCCAGTTGGTGTTGGAAACAGAACCAAGTGCTTCGCTGGAGCAGTTCCTTCAGCATGAACTTGCTCTTGCATTGGCTTCAGACTATCTGCAGACCTTGGACTCCTGTCTGAGAATGGTTCCTTCGTGTGCTGAGTGATTCATGCTATTGCACTTAATCATATTACACGCTTTGTTGACCTTGTAGGAAGCAGCATCACCATCTACTGTTCCTCAGCCGGACATGACAGCTTCCGATTCCTGACTGCAAAGGCTTATGAAGCAAAATAGGATCCAAGCATAACCTGACTCTGTTGCTAGGAAGCGAAAACTTCGTCGCCTGGAGCGAGGGTGGCCCCACAGGCCACTTGAAGGTTTTCTGAGAGTTGAGTTTCTGCTTGATTGAAGTGTTTGTTTTGGCTGTCCCCTAGGATACTGCATTGACTTGGCAATCGCAACTTTGGGAATTCCCGGAAGCTTATGCAGCCTGCCTGCCAAGAGTTGCTTCATGTGTGCGGTCTTTGGAATCACGTGCAAGTCGTTGTACCTTGTACCTAGGAAGCTGTGTCGCCACGGACGCCGGAGCTCGACTGTGGCGAAGGTTTGGTCCGCCGGGGTTGGGAGTTCCCGGAGGATTTGCATTGTGACAGCGAGCAGGACCAGCAGCACTTGTTATGCATGCAACTTCAAAGACTTCCGTGCGCATGTGCACATGTTTGATTGCTAGGGCTGCTAGGGCTGTGCATGCAGGAACAAGGATTCGGTATGGCCATGCCTGAAGAATGCTTGCTGACCCCTGCTCGTGTACATGGCCTCGGGAAGAAGTCCCCAGAGCAGGACCATAGAAAGACAATCAAGATGTAGTTTGCACTCTGTTGCATATATATATATATATATATCATGGGGTCAACAATTGGACATCGCCACTTTCCTGACACAGCAGCTATCCAGGAGATGACTCAGACACTTCTGCGGAACGGGGTGGCCCAGATGGAAGCCCGGAGTGGCATCCTTGTTCCGCCGCCTGTGGGTGGAGATGCGGCTCCAACTAAGAGGGCCTTGGGCCCGTTGTTTGATGAGGCGGTGTCGATGTCATTGCTATGTTTGGGGGTCAGCTTGAAATGCTCTCGTGTGCAATAGTGCTGCCATGTTGTAGGCTATGACACCGAGAAAAACTTCGAACTTTAGCCGGATGACTCCAGAGGGCCCAACTCCAGACACATTGTTGATCCCCCACTCCATTGACTGCTATGGAGAGCATGCTTATGCTTCCTCGACAAAGTTGGACACCTGTGAAAAAGATGCCTTGAGAGATCCGGCTCCTTTTCTGCAAGATTGAAGCTGCCATGATGATGTCATGTTCAGGTTTGTGTTGTCGGTGGCTGTGTTGTATTTGCAATGTTTCTCATGCTAAGAATCCTTCGAAAGATGAAGTTAAGTGGTGCATCTGGTGCCATTGGGGCCAAGACCACCGTTGATCCCAGACGCGGCCATGGGCAACTTGCCCAGCTTCCCCAAGTGGCTCCCCAAGGTCCCTGAGAGTTTGGTGCACGAGCAGAAGGGAGTTCGCATGGAGCAAGCTGAGGTGCTTTTGTTGCAGTGGGGGTTGTGTTCTTTTTTGTTGGGGGAGCCAAATGAAGCTTCTATGGATCACAAAGCTTAAGGCGGAGTTGGCCAAAGCTCAGCTGAAGAACCAGAAGAAACGCGATCGCCAAGAACAGGACGGCGGCCGTGGAGGTCGCAGGGGCGGCCGTGGAGGTCGCAGCGGCGGCCGTGGGGGTCGCGGTGGCGACCGTGGGGGTCGCAGTGGGGGCCGTGGAGGTCGCACTGGCGGCCGTGGCCGCAGTGGCCGTGCTGCTGGCGGAAGGGCTGGCAGTGAGGGCGGCCGCGGACGCGGTCGTGGCCGTGCCAAGTCGGTGGCGACGGCTGAGGTTGAGAAGGCCTCGACCCCGGTAAAAGCCAGGAAAAAGTCAGCTCCGAAGGCGAAGGCCCGGGCAAGAACGACAAATACGAAGAGCAAGCCGGAGGCTTCGAAGGGAGCTGCCGAGGTGACGACGCCTCAGAAGCCCAGCCATGCAGGCAGGGGGCACTTCTTGACGAAGACAGCGAAGAAGCGATCTGAGAAGGCCAAGCGGTTGGAGAATGCCCGGAAAAACATGGCATTCTTGAAAGAGTGGGGATCCTCCTTGAAGGGCATCCAGTTCCCGGAGGACGACTTCGATCGGCAGAGTTACACGATTGATCCGCCGAAGGTAGCGGCACGAGGTGCCGTTGGGAATTCCCCCTCGCCGATCCAAGTCGTCTTGGATCGAAATTTGTTCTATGTGACGAGGGCTAGAGTGCCGGACATCCTCGCCGACTATGCATCAGTACCTTGATCTGGGTTTTGTGTTTGTATATAGTTTGGGCCGCGATGATGCTAGAGAACAGTGTATAGGTATCTGCATGCTAGACTTCCACCTCTCTCTCAGGCCGACAACAAAGAGGGTGCGACGATTGGGTGGCACAGGAGTCCGAATCTGGGTGTCGCGCTTTGTGGCTGCATCAGGTCTAGGCTTTGGGCACATGGGATAAACTCTTTGACTGTCTTGGTGGGTTTATGAGTTCGAACATACTCAGCTTCGTGGGATAATGCTGTTCCAAAGGGGTGTTTTCCATGTGTCCACATTCATACATGGGTCCACGCTGTATGTTGGAACGTCTCCTGCTGCACTAGTTTTACTGCAATGCCGTGCCAGTGTAGCCATCCTCTTCTCAATAGCATCACATGTGAAATTCCAAATAGAGTGTATAGGTCTACGACGTGATAGACAATTGGCCGAGGTGGGAGCTGGCCAAAGCCGTGGCTGGTTGGACCTCCCCGACTTTGGACACTCGTACTTTTTTTTGATGCCTGCACATTAGCTTTCTGACGACTGCATGTCTGCACAAGCTGAGCCTTAGGAATCAGGATCCACTCATTATCATCAAACTTAGGTATCTATGCGACTTCATGCAGCCAGTGCTGAAAAGCTGGCTGACCAGCTTCCTGACAGCTGAACCGAAATCCCTGTAGGGCTGCCGTAGGGTGTGTATGCCGGGCATCCTCACGATCGGTTTCACTTTGTACTTACATAGCAAGTCCTACTTTCGAAGGGGTGTACTTTAAGCTTTTGAGCAGGATGTCAGGATGCACCACATTTTAGGACTGTACGATTTTGCAGATACGATGCCTGTCCTGTGCCAGAAGACCACTTCTTGATCTGTGAACCGCCGAGGTTACAAAGCCATCTGCACTACTAATTAATTAAGCTCAGGCATGAGAGATCTGATGAACAAAGCACCCCAAAGCTGAATGATGCTGTATCATGCGCAGGTCATGGATCCAGATCCCGCTCGGCCTTCACTGGTACGCCCTCCCTCGTGCCAGGGTTAGCTTGTTGCGGGTCTCGGGGGTTCGGGTTGCATGCCTACTTACATCTATTAAGCATGGGCTTGATCTGTATGGACAACATATTGTACAAGGGCTGATCTCTCATCCTCGGGTGCGGTTTGCAGATCTGTAGCTATATATTGTGAGCCCCGGAGTTGACATTTCATGTGTGGGGTTGCACTCCTACACCCCTTAACCCTGAGCCCTAGATCCTAAACCTTTAAATGGCCCTTTTGAGAAACCTCTCTTTGGACTCTAGACCTGAACCCCTAACCCTAAACACGTAAACCCTAAACCTGAATATGTGCTCTACGGCTCACAGCAGACTGGAGGAATGCACGCAGGGCTGTTGGCCCTAGGAGGCTTCAGGTCTGTGCTGCACTGGCTAGCTGGGGCACCACCAGTGATGATACTTGCCTGAATGATACACATCCCAAAACACGTCGCTGCTACTGTGCAGGCAGAATTGGAAGTGTACCCAGCTAGATTACTTCGACCTACTGCTGCCCAGGTCTTGTCCTGCTACGTGATGTTCAGTGGTGCCGCCGCGGCGGCTAAAGGTTCCGGACCCTTGTGCTGCAATACGGCCTCTTAAGCTTGTTGTGCTACGGTTGATGATATAAATCCTGCAGTACCCAAAATAAGGAATATACCATAATTCCCATAGTTTAGGGTCCTTAAGGTCATGCAGGATGTATATCATCAACCGTAGGACTTGATACCCACTGGCCTATACAGATCATATGTACGGTTAAGGTTTTCTAAAATATGTTTAAATTATGAGACCCCCCCCCTGCAATACCCCATAGCCCGTTGCCACGGAGCCGGAAATCACATAATACTGGGCCTGAATATACCCATGGATGCCAGTGGGGTTGGGACTTAGAAAGTGTGAGTTGTCATTCAATCCAACTCTACGATCCGAATTGCTGGACAAGACAAGGACTCTACCACACGCAAGAACGTATAGATGAATGCTTCCTTTGAATATGTACATGTGGGAGTTTCCGAAAATTAGGGGTACCAAATCTTGGGGTTTTCGGGTATATAATATTTAGTGATCCTATACTAAGGGTAGTATATTAATAAGGTCCCTTATTTTCGGAAACTCCCATACCCGACATGACCCCCTTTCCCCATCCTTTCGCCCTGAAGCCAACACCTCAAAGTTTCCCCGATTCTTCAAGATTCCCTAATTAATCGGTAACACACGACAAATAGCAGGGTAAAAACCCATTGATCAAGCCCTCTGCACCGAAGCCCGAGCGAAAGCTTATCTGGCGAGGCGAGCCTATGCTACCTGGGCAAATGGAACTTCAGCGAAACCCGAAGCCCGGCGGATTCCGAGGGTTCAAATGAAGCAGTAGTGGTAGCTACAGAGGTGCTCGTGGTGGGCGCCTGCTTCTGCTCTTATTATCTTGTGCATGATACTGATGGGTGGTCGTGGTTGTGCTTACCTGATGTAGCAGTTGGAGTTGTAGCTGTGGTTTGCACCGCGGGGGTTTCTGATCTCCGGGACGGGGCTTAGACTGCGAGCTCCCAAATGCAAGTGGGGATCGGTGGTTGGATCGGATAGCAAGTTTGGGCTCTGGGCCCTAACCGCCCTACATGGTTTCTTTGCTGGGGACTGGTGCCATGTCGTCTTTGGGCTTCGGGGATTCAGGTTGTGATGCTGTGTACTAGGACCACTGGCAACACTCCGAGTTTACTGCTATCACTACGACGACCAGCACTACTACTAGTACTACTGTTAGAACAACCACAACAACAACAACAACAACTAGTACTACTACTACAACTACTACTACTACTACTACTTGTGCTGCTGCTGCTACTACTACTACTAGTAGTACTACTACTACTACTACTACTACTACTACTACTACTACTACTACTACTACTACTACTACTACTACTACTACTTGTGCTGCTGCTGCTGCTGCTACTACTACTACTACTACAACTACTACTACTACTGCTGCTGCTGCTGCTACTACTACTACTACTACTACTACTCGGAAGGACAATATTTATGATACAACAAGAACGAACTACGTCTAGAGTATTATACTGATAATATCAACAACAACAACTACTACTACTACTACTACTACTACTACTGCTACTACTACTTCTACTACTCCTACTACTAGCACATACTATAGAACAATGACTACTAGTACCACTACCACTACTAGTACTGGTAGTGGTTCTACTGGGCCTGCTGCCACTGCAAACAATCAGGAATTACGAACGGTACTGCTAGCAGCTACAACCACAAGGCCTACAGCAGCATCAACAACAGAAAAGCGACACAACTGGCTGCTGCAGCCGATAGTGCAAGCTAACACTTTTACTTCCATTACCACTATCGCTGGCACTACTTCGAGGACGACTATTACTATTCAGGAAACATACCATGCTCTAAGGTGGATTGGCTCCAATGGTGGGTTACCGACGATTCCACAGGTGGCCATGGGACCATGCCTCCAGCATGCATTCGGAGTTGTGTCTGTAAATTATTTAGAGCTAGTAAAGCTTCAACCCGACCCCGCTACAACCAACAGAATGTGAGCACCCTGACCACCCTCAGCCCCGGTTGCCCAAGCCGGCTCTTCCGTTGCACATCTCAGGTATGCAGCTGGACGACTCCTGCGGGCGCGGAATGCTCTCGAGGACCCCTCATGAGACTTGTTTCTGAATTTCTGGGGATGGTATGACTCGCCACTTTGAGCCGTGATGCTGAAACAGTTAATGAAGATTACTCCAGATGTATATGCTGCTCAGGACTCACCAGCTGATGCATGCGATCGTTTGGCACTCGTCACAAGGCTGACCGGTGCATCCCTGAAAGGTAGACTGCTAGCAGCACATGGGAGTTTCCAAAAGTTCGGGTTACTGTGTTGTGGGGTCCTTTATTCAAGATA